TAGCAAATGCCTGTTTGAACTTCTCTTGAGACATTACAAAACCCAGCCCCCTTTGAACTTAACCCTGAGCACATTCTCCCACAGGTGCTGGTGCACAGGTGGGAAAGAGCCCCTTATTGCCAATAAATGAAGTCAGATCACTGTTTATTCAGTCGGCAAGCAAATGCTGATCACTCCCTAGTACCAGGCCCTGTGCTGGGGGTGGTGAGGCCCCCTGTGGCGAACAAGGCCTGTCTCTACTCAGAGAGGGCTTCCAATCTGACGGGAGGTTAAGACATGCTCGTGTTTTTCTATGTTGAGCACCTACTCGGTGATGAATCCTGTGCTCAGCGCACGCGCGCGCGCACATACACACACACACACACACTTGCTCTCCTTAATCCCCAAGCTCCCTGCCAACCGTATATCATCATCATCATCCCCATTTTACAGATGCAGAAGCTGAGGCTCAGAGAGGTTAAATGACTTTTCCAAGGTCACCTAGCTGCCCATTTTCTACCTTAGACCCCAGATGGCCCCCTGTCCCAGGTCAGGTTAAACACCAGTTCAAAATGTGCAGAGGTTTCCAGTCAAGAGAAACCACTTCTAACTGCAGGTGATCAGTGGGGGGGGGTCTTGCAGGAGGTGCCCATTAGAGTAATCTTCAAGCACTGCCAAGAGGCCAGCTGGCAGGGGGGAGCAGGAAGGCTGTGGGTAGAGTGGCAGAGGGAAGTCCTGAGCCATTGCTCAGCTGTGTGGCCCCTGGGCCAGCCATTTACACTCTCTGAGCTTTGGTGCCCTGCCCTATGGAATGGAAGCAATAACGGCTGCTTCACAGGGCGGTTGGGAAAACGTATTTTCTGTGTCTGGAGTGCTCTTTGCTTAGAGTGTATTTTTCAGTTTGGACTAAATGATTCTCTGACATTTTGGCTGGTTGGAATGAATGGATGGATGGTTAGACGGGTAGATGGATTAATGAGGTATGGACAGATGAATGATTGGTTGGATGAATGGGGGATGGATGGATGGATGGATGGATGGATGGATGGATGGATGGGGTAGGAATGGGAAGGGATGGACAGGGCAGGTGTAGGTGGATGAATAGATACGTGGAACTAGAGAGTGATGAGGGAGGGAGGTGGGTGAGGATGAGGAAGATTTTGACAGATGGGGTAGATAAGTGGATGGATGAAGAAAGGGAGGATAAGTAGGCTGAAACTCAGTTCATTCATGAGTATTTATTGAGTATCCACCAAGACTAGTGTCTGACCAAGGACACTCGGGCACTGTGGCAGAGGGTAGAGGCTTTGGAGACGGGCAGCTTGTGGCCTTCCCATCCTGGGGGGGTCCGTGGATGAACTTCCCTGTGTGCCAACCGGCAGCTTTCTGGTCCCCTCCTATCTCCAGGTTTTGCAGGGCACCACTACTCTGCCTTCCACTCCCGCCCCCTATGATAGAGCTCCACACCCCATAGCAGGCCTTTCCTGCAGACTCTGAACCACACTTCTACAAGGCAGCGGGCCAGGCTGAGGAGGAAATGGAGAGAAGGAGGGATGGGTGTGGGTGTGTCTAGGGGCACCTGTATGCCTGTGTGCCCGTATTTGAGGAGGCGGGGGTGGGGTGTTGTGTTTGCACGTCTCATATGTGTGAGTGTTTGTACATAGGCAATGTGTGTTTGGTGAAGCCCAGGGTTCAGAAGGGATCCTAAGGCCCTGCATGTCTACACACGATCAGCTTAGTCTTTGCAAAACCCCTCCAGTCTCTGGCTTCTACACAATATAACCTTAACCCAGTTCTGAAACTTAGACGCCTCATCATGTTCTGCATTGCCCACCCCCCACCAAACACACACCAGACACACACCAAACACACACCAAACACACACCAAACATACACCAAACAGCATAGATTTTGCTGAGGATTGTAGGGGAGGGCCAGGGAATATCTGAAATATAACGCAGACATCCTCAAATGTTGATATCACACATGGTACCAAATGTTTCAGTTCTGTAACGTCCCCCCC